TTATGTCATCTAACAATTGTTTTTTCAAACCATCCGCCACCTGCAAATGCAAACACACCAGCAGATAACATTACACAATAGAAAATAAAATAAATTACAATTTCGACCGGAACTTGTACAGCTTCAGCTATACCATTAACATTGGGTATGGACTGATCATTGTGGGACTACTTTCAGTGTCTCCGAGTGCTGAAAAGCACTGTGATTGCTTGTTCAAGCAAACCAACGCGCGGGACCTGCAGCACCACGTGGTTATAGCTAGTTCTTTTTTAAAACGTTCTCCGCATCTGATGATCAACAAAAAAATATTTTTATACCTAACAGTATCACATGTAAGTCCCTATAGCATTCCCCACAAATAGTATCATAAGGCACTAATATACTAAACGAAAATATAGTCAAGCTCACCTCACCAAATATCCATTGGCAGTGTGAACATTATCATCAATGAGAGATGTTTAATGGGCACATAGACTCCGTCACGTTCATCAGCGTCACGTTCATCCGCCTGTGCTGAAGAGCACCAAGGTCGTCAACCAGATCCACAAGTATCTCAATGACTCCAATCAGGCCTTAATTGTCTTCGCCTCTTAAAGTCCAACACTCTACATTATCTGAAATATCAACACAAATAAATAACAAATACAAAATAAATGATCGGAAAAATGAAGTGAAAAAAAAGACTCAACATAAACCAATTTAGTGAACCTCAATCGTTAAAATCCACCTCACAACTGCACCTTGCTGGAACCATCCACCTTGTTAAACTCCTGGATGTTGTAGTTCGCAAGGGTGCGACCATACACCACGGATGGTTGGACGACGTGGGTCTGTGAACTGGTCCAGTAGCTTGTCTGCGTTCTGGGTCTCATGGACAGGCTGAGCTGATGGAGGTCAAGTTCAAAAGATCGAGAAGAACAAAAATCGTCAATTTCGAAAGCACAAACAACAACTGTCTGCCAGAACCGAAGTTCGACAGGTTCAGGTAAACCAAATTCGTGAGAATGTGAAGCAATTTCTGGATTTGTCCTCCAAAACTGTTGTAAGCCAAATTGAGTTTCTTCCGGTAACGAAGCTCAAAAACTGTTGTCGAGTTCTCGAGCCTACAGGATATCATCTCGTCTTTGTTAAGCACGATTTTCAAAGGGGTAATCTTCGTTTGACCAATCACAAGAGAGCTCAAAATATGACTTGATCAGGTTCTGGGTATGACCTTTCAGGTTCAAAATGTTGACAGCATGAAAACTCACACAAGCAGAAAAATTCGCATGAGTTGCTGAATAAAAGAAAAGAAAAGAAAAGAAAAAAATCTCATACGCCTCACTTTTATATTCCAAAGATAATACAATCACTGTTGAGAGTAACGATTATTACATATTCCAGATTACTTGCAGTGATGCAAATTTGAAGCCAACTTAGACAATTGAAAAATATAATAATTTCAATCAAAAAATGGTGTCTCAAAAGCTAGTATTAAAAATAGTACTGGTAAAGATGGTTTCTTTTAGTGATAAATAGATATTTTCGGATGATATATTCCATACCTTAAAATTTCATACTCTGGATATGTTTCTCCAATATTTGTACAATACCAAAATTGGAAGAAGAAGAAAGTTGCACCCTCTCAGTCGAATCATCTTACTTGTTACGAATTGCCGATGAATTGCTCAGATCATCAACAGTTCCTATGCTTCCAAAATAATTTCCTAATGATACCGGCTTCGTAAGTTGATCTTCTTCCAAGTCCATGTCACTGGCACTGTAACACAAGGAACAAATTATTTTGGCAATTAAAGGCTCTCAGTGAAGCAAGTAAAAGATTTGAACAGACTATACAAGCTTCTACATACATTGTAAGGGCTGCAAGGCTAAATTCCTTGCCCAAAGCCATATTTCATTCCTTCAATATCATGCAATCTAAAGTTGACTTATCAAGCTCCAGCAACATCATAAGTGTATAATAAGTATTCATGTGTATTTAGTGGAGCATGGAGAATGGCTCAGAAATCAGATACATTTGGGATTCAAATATTTTCATAAAATTTTCTTTTTCTCTCAGAGAAGCATTAAGAGCATGCTCAAAGAGGTTCCCTGCCTTGGAGATTAACTATATTTGTCAGCTAACCTCATCATATAAATTTATCTGATCTATAAAGTCAAAATTAGCAAAAATATGACTACTGTTATAATACGAATTGAGGAATCTTTTTCCCCAAATTCCCAAATACTAATACTTCCAGAATTTTCACAGTTTCATATCTAGCTAAAGCTTAAACTAAGAACCATTAAGATATGCATCATAAAAGCTATCAACAAATCATAAAGATGCTTAAAAATGAGGAAAAAGAATGGTCAAAGTTACCACATAAACTTCGAGCTACAAATCTACCACCACAAAACGAAATATAGAGAAAACAATAATTTTTACATGAAAAAACAGAGGCGCAAATAATCACCAGAATTTCGACTTGGCTCAGACATCATAGGTCGCCCATAGCTTCATCCGGTAAGGTGCTCGTCGGCCTCGGTCAGCAAAGCTCTTCCAATCACCTAGTACTGGTGAAACTGTAAACGACGTTAGTTCAGTCTGTAATTGTAGACTCTCGAAGACGAAGATGAAGAGGAAGATCAGACCCTCTTCCAGAATTAATTAAAGTGAGAAGAAGCTATTTCTTTTGATTTTATGGCACTAAAAGATTACC